AAATAAATCTAAAGAAAAACTTGAGCTTGAAGATCAACATCTCTGCAATTTGATGAATTTAGTTTGATGGCTACTCGGAAGATTCAGTAAGTAAATTTCACAGTTCTTGATTATGAAACCTAAATATATGTTATGTTTTCTGCAGGCAAAATCCTAAACTTGTTACCTGAAGGTTCTGTAGATGGGGATACCAGGATGGTCCTGGTGAATGCTGTCTACTTCAAAGGAAAGTGGAAAACTCCATTTGAGAAGAAACTAAATGGGCTTTATCCTTTCCGTGTGAACTCGGTATGAGACAACAAAATATATCTTCCTAGTATATTTTAGGGCCTTTGACAAGATACAGACAGAAAAATTAGAGACCACTCATTCATTTTCCTACATGACTTTCTAGTTAAAAGTATTGGACTCTTTCAAGAAACAGTAGAGGTAGAGGGGAAGACCATGGCTTTTTAGTTATACATGCCCAGACTCAAACGTTGACTCTACTACTTAGTTCAGAGGGCTGTAAATATTGAGACATGAGTTCCTGGCCCATAGTAACAACTAAACAAGTGTTTTATAATTATGGTTGTCATTACCATTGTTGTCCATCTTACTAAATAAAGGGTATAAAGTTGAACGAGCTAATAATATCAGAGTACCCACTAAGGATGTACAAATAGTTTATTTTGTTGATTAAAAAACCACATTTATCCAACACTAAAGTAGAACCCATCCTCCTTTATGTCTAATTTTAAATCTCTTGATATCTTATAACCAACTTCCATATTTTACTTTTTAATAATATTAGGCTCAGCACACACCTGTACAGATGATGTACTTGCGTGAAAAGCTAAACATTGGATACATAGAAAACCTGAAGGCTCAGATTCTAGAACTCCCATATGCTGGAGATGTTAGCATGTTCCTGTTGCTTCCAGATGAAATTGCCGATGTGTCCACTGGCTTGGAACTGGTAAGACATTGAGATATTCAAGTTTCTGGGGCTAAACCTACCTTTCGTGAGATGAATATATACTCCTTACAAATGGTGTGGTAATTTCTCACGGAAATATATGAAACAGTTGATAGTAAATGTGGCATACCTCTACATTTCACTCAAAGCCTTAACTATGTCATACATATTACCTTCTTGTAAAAACCTGACCAATCTGTTAACTTTTTATATCACCCACAATAAAGTCACTGATTTTTAATATTAGACTTAAAGTTGTTTTCCTTCTGTTCTAATACTTGCTGTATTTTCTTTGCTTTGTTTTGTTTTGCTTTGCAGCTGGAAAGTGAAATAACCTATGACAAACTCAACAAGTGGACCAGCAAAGACACAATGGCTGAAGATGATGTTGAGGTATATATACCCCAGTTCAAATTAGAAGAGCATTATGAACTCAAATCCATTCTGAGAAGCATGGGCATGGAGGACGCCTTCGACAAGGGACAGGCCAATTTCTCAGGGATGTCGGAGCGGAATGACTTGTTTCTTTCTGAAGTGTTCCACCAAGCCATGGTGGACGTGAATGAGGAGGGCACTGAAGCAGCCGCTGGCACAGGAGGCGTTATGTCAGGGAGAACCGGTCATGGAGGCCCACAGTTTGTGGCAGATCATCCTTTTCTTTTCCTTATTATGCATAAAATAACCAAGTGCATTTTATTTTTTGGCAAATTTTCCTCACCCTAAAACCAAAACGTGCTATTTCTGCAAAAGATTTTTGTAGATGAGCTATGTGCCTCAGAATTGCTATTTCAAATTGCCAAAAATTTAGAGATGTTTTCTACGTATTTTTGTTCTTCTGAACAACTTCTGCTACACACTAAATAAAAACATGGAAATAATTAGACAATTGTCTATTATAACATGACAACCCCATTAATCATTTGGTCTTCTAAAATGGGATGAAGCCCTTTTAGATTTTCCTTACTCTCAGTTATTTTTATAACATTAACTTTTACTTTGTTATTTATTATTTTATATAATGGTGAGTTTTTAAATTATTGCTCACTGTCTATTGAACGTAGCTAATAAAGTTATAGAAGCAGATGATCAGTTAATTTCCTATCTAAAAAATGCCTTTACTTGTTCTCATAATGAAGAATAAGTAGGTATCCCTCCATGTCTTTCTATAGAATAAATATCTAGAAAAAACATTAAACAATAGGCAAATATATGTTATATGCATTTCTAGCAATACATACCACATACATATGTCTGTATCTTATATTCAATTGCAAGTATATAATAAATAAACCTGCTTCCAAACAACAATACATTTGTTGTCATTTCATTAGGTCTGCAGATCATAGACCTATTATACCTTGATACCTAGGAGTTGAGCACCATGACTCACTTGTGAGAACTCAGAAAAAATAGACAGGATGAAGGATCCAAGGCATAACCACCTTCATTCAAAAAGACCCAGTGTTGAGGGTGAGTGGGATGGGGTTATATGAAAAATGGATTAGAGCTGCTTTCTCACAGCAGCAAAGACATAGCAATTCAGAATAGTCTAAGTTAGAGTCCTTTGGGGAAACCAGTGTCTAAACATTAAGGACACCAGGATTAATGACCAAGTCCAGTGGTCCAGACACAGAAGAAGGCCTCAGTCATTGAGCTGACAGTTGCAAGCAGTGAAGATGGGAGATGGACTGGGTGCAAGAGCAGGAGGGGAAACAAAAGATGGCTCCTTCTACGGGTGTTTGCTTCTAATAGCAGTGAATGCTTTTGAGTGAGTCAGAGGCGGAGAAGGACATAATTGAAGACCTGAGAAATAAGGCAAGTTGTAGGCTGGGGGTCTGAACAACAGAGTCTGGCTGCAGGAGTGTGGCTGGATCCTGGAAATGTACCACAGCCCCTTCGATGGCAGGCAGGGATGCTTGACCCACTAGAACATGGTAGCTAAAGAAGTGCCCTCAAGACTTAGACTCTCTGCCTCCAAATCCCAGTTGCAACACCTACAAGTAGCTTAACCAGAGGCCAACCGTGGTGCTTCTTTTTGCTCTAGTTTTCTCTCAGTGAAAATTAAAGAAAAAACTGCTTTTGTCATATTGCTATAATGACTAAATGAGTTCTTATATATCAAGCAATTAAAAGAATACTTGGCATATATAATATTTAATAAATACTAGTGATTATGATCTTTCTTATCTTTGTCAGCAATAAAACTGTCTCACTGTAAGCTGGTCAAACATGAATCCCAGAAAATTACTCAGTTAACTTTTTAAGCCTTGCATAATGGTGTATATTTCTTCTAATCAGACATTCCCGAAAATTAAGAGTTGCTGTTTCTTGCATTCTTCTACTTACTTTTAATTTCATTTTTCTATGTGCTTTCATAATTCTGCAAGGTGGTAGGTGGTAACTGTGAATTATCATGAGTCTTAAAATATCCATATCCATATTTAACTCTCAGTATTGAGTTAGAGTAGGGATATACAATACTGGGTTCAAAGTGCTTTTCAGCACTTTGAGGGTATGACATTATTGTCTTTTTGGTACCCAAAATTGTTGATAGGAAAGTTGATGTTAAGATAATTCTTGCTCCTTATAATTTTAATATTTTTGTTTTTGTTTTTGTTTTTTTGAGACTTCATTACATTAAGGATATTTTTAAAATTATATTTTAAAAAGTTTATCTTGTTCATCAGCAGATTTTTCTATCTGGAAACTTATATCTTGTTTCAGTTCTGGGAAACCTCAGCCATCACAATGGGCTCAGTATGTCTTCCCAAAATTCATATGTTGAAACTTTAATCCCAAATGTGATGGTACTTGGAGGTGGTTCCTTTGGAAGAAAATTAGGGTTAGATGAGGTCATGAGGGCAGAATCCATGATGGAATTACTGCCCTTATAAGGAGCTCTAGGAACCAGATCTTTTTCTGTTTATCATGTGAGGATACAACAAGAAGGCAGTCATCTGTGAATCAGGAAGAGGCCCTCACTAGAACCTGATCATGCGGGAATGCCCTTCTCAGACTACCAGTCTCCAGAACTATGAAAAATAAATGTTTGTTGTTTAAGCCACACAATCTACGGTACTCTGTCATAGCAACCTGAACTGACTAAGACAGCCATTATCTACTCAATTGCTTGGCGCCATTTGATCTACTTTCTTCTTCTGGATTCCTACTAAGATAATATTGATGCATCTGATGCTCCTCTCTGTTTCCAAATTTTTTGAATACCTAATAAATTCACATGACCCAAACATCAAATATCACAAAAAAGACTAGAGTGAAAAGTCTTCCTTCCACTCTTGTTCCCTATTCATTTAGTTCCTATTACTCTGTCTTTACTAGTAATATATGTGCATGTTGCAATATACACACAGAGTCATAAATAAAAACAACAAACAAACAAAATTGTTCTAATAATACTGTATTATTAACTGAGTATATGATTACCCCTTTCTCTTTCCTAGTCCCCCAACAAGCAACAAAATAATGTACAACTATGATTTTACTGTTGTAGGCAGTATACCTATACGTAGGGTGATATAGTTTGGATATTTGTCCCTGGCCAAATCTCATGTTGAATTGTAATCCCCAATACTGGAAGCAGGGTTTGGTGGGAGGTGTTTGGGTCCTAGGGGCTGATCCCTTACGGCTTGGTGCTGTCTTCATGATAGTGAGTTTTCATGAGATCTGGTCACTTAAAGGTGTGTGGTAACTCCCCGAACTCTCTCTCTCTCTTGCTCCTGCTTCTATCATACGATGTGCCTGCCCCCCACCTTTGCCTTTTGCCATGATTGTAAGCTTCCTGAGGCCTCCCCAGAAGCTGAGTAGATGCCATCACTGTGTTTCCTGTACAGCCTGCAGAACTGTGAGCCAGCTAACCCTCTTTTCTTTATAAATTAGTCAGTCTCGGGCATTTCCTTATAGCAATGCAAGAATGGCCTAATACATAGGGGGTTTAATCAAGAAGTGAGGAAGAAATCTGGAAAAGGTTTTGAGGGAATAAATGAATAAAACTTAATCTTTGACTTTAAGGAAGATGAAACCATTTGTTGCACAAATCCGCAAAATCTTCATTGATGCCTTTACTATAACACAAGCAACACAAGGAAGTCTTCATGCCGTGTGGTGTTGCAGCCCAAGTCACTGTGGTGGACTGCTGTCAGTCAAGGTGAGCAGTCCTTCTTTCTGGAGGCTCTGTATGATGCTTTTGTCTAACAGTAGTCCTGGAAGCATCCTTGGATAATCATATCTGCTCAGTGCAAAGTTGGGCAGGCATCATGGAACTTTCCAGCACACGTCTCATTCCCTAGTGAAATCTAGAGTAGCATTCTGCCCTGGGTTCCACATCAACATTCAAATATTAAACTCTGAGCCATCTTGCCAGAAAATAAGTGTGCCTCTGTGAAGAGAAAAACAGGAACTACGTGAAGAAAAATATACCAAATACTTTATAAATAGAGAGGCTCCTTCTTTCTCTTAATCCCTCCTGGAGATGTCCTCCTGTTCCAATCCCTCTCCCCATGACCTCCCTACCCCTTCCTCCATACACATGCAAATGAAACAAATGGCCTGTTATTTTTCTTTTGTAATAAATAAGGAGTGAAAAAGCATTCCTAGGGAAAAATAAAAGAGAACCAGAAAATGATGAACTAACATCCGACCCAATAATGGTATCTAAAATTTTGATCCAAAACCCTTACCCCTGCTAGTGGGGAAAGCAGACAACCCACTCATTCGAGTTATGCTCTGGGTTCTACACCAATGCTACAAACGAGAACAGAAAATTTTCCAGGGTACCTTTCACATAATAACTGAGAGAATAAAGGCCAGGCATGATGGGTCATGCCTGAAATCCCAGCACTTTGAGAGGCCAGAGGTGGGAGGATCAGTTGATCCCAGGAGTTAGAAGCTGCTGTGAAATATGATTGCACCACTGCACTTCAGCCTGGGTGACAGAGTGAGACCCTATTTCTAGAAAAAACAAAACAAACACAACAAAAATATTCCACTAATTTGAAGCTTTCTATTTTTGTTTTATAAAAAAAAAAAACTACCAGGGAAAACCATGCCAAATATTCTCTGTTGGCAGACTAGAGAAAGGATTAAGCCAAGAAAGGATGAGTTATAATTTGTCAGAATCCAGGTCTCTAGATGTGTACAGAGATGGAAAGTGTGAGTAATTAAATAATTCAGGCAAATCCTTAACTGTCTCTTTTTATTGAAACTTCTGGCTAAAATAAGCCTGAAAGAAAGAGTATACATGCTTGTGAAACAATCAAAGGGTGGAGCTAAGAACAGGGAGGTGCTAACTTTTTTTTTTTTTTTTTTTTTTTTTTTATTTCTTCAGTTGAAAGTTTCCCAACTCTTCAGCCACAATCTCTTACTACAGGAGCAAATTGCCTATTCTGCTCCAGTGGAAGAAAACCAGGTATTGTAAATATTTCTTTGGGTAATGATTTTATTTACGTTTTTCTTCTTGGTTGAAGTGCTTAGCTAAGTAACAAATAATGAAGACCCCTTCTCCCAAAAAAGTCCAGAAATAATAGATAAGGCCCAATCCCTTAAGAATTTTTCTGTATAAGTCATAGAGTAACCTAAGCTGGTTTGATGTTTGTACTAGAAAGAGGGATACGGGAGAAAGAACATTCATTCCCCAAAAAAGTTAGAGAAATTGTTTTTCTAGGAATCGTGGAGTGTAATTTGCTCCTTGTTTTACCTGGAATTGTGAAACCAGGAGTGGAGTTTCCTCCAGTCACTTTTCTGTATCTGTCAACATAGGCAGAGAGAAATAGGATATTCTCTCAGGACAGTTGAGCCAAAACCCTTCAACCCTTTAGCAAATGTGAGCTTGGCACCCTGAATTTGGATCCTAGTCATTAATATATGGAACTCATGGTTTGATTCTTTAACTGTTCCCCCTCAAACCCAAAACCCCACTCTCCTCTCCTGGCCACCATTTCATGGGCCATTAGCTTTCTTCTCTTCTGTGGAATAACCAATGTTCCGAATCCCCCACATTACACTAGGCGCTCTTTATAAACCACCCCAAACTATTACCTATCTCTAAAAAAGGCCTTAGGTGAATAGAGAGGTGCTGGGGATTGCGGGAAGCTGTCATTCTCTGATATGCACAACTCCATGAGGAGATAATATTATCATTGTCATCAGAAAGGCAAGAGGCCTTAGGGAGTGTCTCCTGGAAAACGGGACAAGAATCCTTCTCCCCACTCTCCAGATCTTCTTTCTCCTCCTGATGGTTCTCCATCACAAAATCTCTCTCTTTAGCCACTAAAATCTTAAACACAATGAGATACAATAGCAAAAGCAACTGTGTATTCAGAGTCAAGAGAACGAAGTTGCAGTTTTGACTCTGCTGTGCGTCCTTTGCTCAATCAGCCTCTCTCAGCTTCAGTTTCTTAGCAGACAAAACGGGGGAACTGGGTTAGGGAGATTCCAAGGGTCTTTCCAACTCTGATATGCTAGGGGCATGTGATGATGAAATGTCTATGATGAGACATTTTGATGAATGACGCCATCTTTTTCTTGCTTTTTTCATTCTCTTTGGCTTCTCCTCCGAGCCTGTCTACAGGTTAAGCTCATAGATGATCAGTTTACAGCTCTTGAAAACTGCAAAAGAGCAATTAATTTTGAAAATGACATGGTAGACTTCTGACCTACACATTTGCAGTCTTCTCTGAAAATATAATTGTCCAACATTTGTATGGAATAATTATTTCCTGTAAAATTTCATCTCACAATTCTATACCCTTCAGAAAGTATTTTTCATTGTTGGGTTAAATATCACTAATGGATGGCTTAGTACTTCATTAGATTTCTTTAAAAAAAGAAAACAAAGAATTGTTTCTCTTGTATGTTCTGGGTAACATCTGATATATAAATAATGATACTAATAAGGGAATTAATGAAGACAAATACAACTAAATATTAAGTTTACATGAGAAATTAGCTTTTATAATAGAGAATTATTGTTTTCAGGAACATGTTACAAGTAAATAAACACTAGAATAACCATAAACTGAGGTAGAAAAACCCCAGCCTCTAAAATGGTACTTTCTCTCCACTTCATGAAGAGTGTGGTTTGGCCAAGAACCAAACGCTTTCCACGTGAATTTAATTCATGAGTTTTAAAAATACAAAGCTTGATATATACTGTATGCAGGTAACAAAATGTTAGTTGAATGAATAAGAGCCTTAAAGGAAGTATAGAGTTATTTTGAAGATGACATTTGATCTGTTGAGGAAGAAATAGTCACAGGCAAATATTCAATATTTTATGAGGGTGTAGAATTACTACAGAACTACAGTCTTTTTTGTTTACTGTTTAATCAAATCATGTCAGCCTGGGATTATCATAAGCTTTTGGAGTAGGCAGGAGCCACACCTAGGGCATGATTTAGAGGCAGGGAAGCTGTTTGGGTAAGTGTAAGTTTATGGCTAGGAGGGATTCCCACAGTATCACTATTAACTCCGAGTTATGATGAAACCAAAACTTTGTCTACACCTGTCTCTCTCATGATTAAGTTATTTGAGTATAGAGAATTCCTAATGTCTTCTAAAGCTCTCATTCTAGGTTTCTCAGAAGGCCAGGTGATGTGCATGCAAGGCCTAACTCTACACAACCTTGGCATTAATGAGATTTCCTAGGCCTAATAATTGGAATTATTTTATTTTTTAAATAATTTCAGTTTTTATTTTTGACTCAGAGGGTACATATGCAGGTTTGTTAGAAGGGTATAAAGTGTGATGTTGAGGTTGAGGTTTGACTGATTCCATCACCTAGGTAGTGAGCATAGTACCAAAGAGTTAGTTTTTCAATCTTTTCTCCTTTCTCTGCCTCCCCACTCTAGCAGTCCCCAGTGTCTATTTTTGCCATCTTTATGTCTATGAGTACCCAATGTTTATCTCCCACTTATAAGTGAGAACATGTGGTATTTTGTTCCTGACGTAATTTGCTTAGGATAACAGCCTCTAGGGCATCCAAGTTGCAGAAAGGTACATGATTCAATTCCTTCTTTTGGTTGCACAGTATTCCATGGTGTGTAGGTACCATGTAATCCTTATCCAATCCAACACTAATGGGCACCTAGGTTGATTTCATGTCTTTGCTATTGCGAATAGTGCTGTGATGAACACATATGTGTGTGTCTCTTTGGTAGAATGATTTATTTTCTTTTTAATGTATACCCAGTGAAGGAATTGCTGATTTGAAGAGTAGTTCTAAGTTCCTTGGGAAATCTCCAAACTCCTTTCCATAGTGGCTGATCTAATTTACATTTCCATCAACAGTGTACCCTTTTCTCCACAGCCTCACCAGTGTCCCTTGTTTTTTGACTTCTTAATAATAGCCATTCTGACATATATGAGGTAGTATTCATTATGGTTTTGATTTGCACTTCTCTAATGATTAACGATGTTGAGCATTTTTTCATGTTTGTTGCCCACTTGTATGTCTTCTTTTGAGAAGTATCTGTTCATGTCCTTTGGCATTTTTAAATGGGGTTGTTTTTTGCTTGTTGAATTAAGTTTCTTATAAATAATAGTTTGCAAATATTTTCTTCCATTCTGTAGTTGTCTGTTTACTCTGTTGATAGTTTATTTTACTGTGCAGAAGCTCTTCAGTTTAATTAGGTCCCACTTTGTTTTTTGTTGTAATTGCTTTTGAAGACTTAGTCATGAATACTTCCCCCAACACTGATATCCAAAATGGTGTTTCCTAGATTTTTTTTCTAGGGTTCTGATAGTCTGAGATCTGACATTCAAGTCTTTAGTCCATCTTTAGTTCATTTTTGTACATGTTGAAAAGTGGGGTCTACTTTCATTTTTCTGGATATGGTTAACCAACTATCCCAGCACCATTTATTGAATAGAGAGTCCTTTCCCAATTGCTTGTTTTTGTTTACTTTGTTAAAGATAAGATGTCTGTAGGTGTGCAGCTTTATTTCTGGGTTCTCTATTCTGTTCCATTGGCCTGTGTGTCTATTTTTGTGCCAGCATCAGGCTGTTTTGGTTACTCTAGGCTTACAGTATAGTTTGAAGTTGGGTAATGTGATGCTTCCAGCTTTGTTCTTTTTTTCTTAGGGCTGCTTTGGATATTGGGGCTCTTTTCTGGGTCCATATGAAATTTAGAATAGTTTTTTCCAATTCTGCGGAAAAAATGATGTTGGTAGTTTGACAGAAATAGCATTTAATCTGAGGTTTGCCTTGGGCAGTATGGTCATTTTAACAATATTGATTTTTCCCGTCCACAAGTGTGGAATGTTTTTCCATTTGTTTGTATTATTTATGATTTTTTAAGCAGTGTTTTTTTTAGCTCACTTTGTAGAGATCTTTCCATTTCTTCATCAGGTGTATTCCTGGGTATTTTATTTATTTATTTATTTATTTTTGACTATTGTAAATGGAATTGTAGTCTTGAGTTGGCTCCCTGTTTGAATGTTACTGGTGTATAGAAATGCTACTGATTTTTGTGCATTGGTTTTGTGTTCTGAAACTTTACTGAAGCCATTTTTTGGTTCCAGGAGGCTTTTGGTGGAGTCTTTAGGGTTTTTTAAGTATAGAATTACATTGTCAATGAAGAGAGATAGTTTGACTTCCTTTTTTCCTATTCGGGTGCCTTTTATGTCTTTCTTTGTCTCATTGCTCTGGCCAGGACTTCTAGTACTATGTTGAATAGGAGTGGTAAGAGTAGACATCCTTGTCTTGTTCCAGTGCTCAAGGGGAATGCTTCCAGCTTTTGCCTGCTCAGTATGATATTGGCTGTGGGTTTGTTACAGATAGCTCTTATTACTTTGAGGTATATTCCTTCAACACCTAGTTTGTTGAGGGTTTTTATCATGAATGGATATTGGATTTTATGGAAAGCTTTCTCCACCTCTATTGAGATGATCAGATGTTTTTTGTTTTTAATTGTGTGGTGAATCACATTTATTGACTTGTGTATGTTGAACCAATATAGTACTCCAGGAACAAAGCCTACTTGATGGTGGTAAATTAACTTTTTAATATACAACTGGATTCAGTTTGCTAGGATTTTGTTGAGCATTTTGGCATCTACGCTCATCACAGATATTTGCCTATAGGTTTCTTCTGTTGTGTCTTTGCCAGGTTTTGGTATCAGGATGATGCTGGCTTTGTAGAATGAGTTAGAGAGGAGTCCCTCCTCTTCAATTTTTTGAAATTATTTCATCAGGATTGATGTCAGCTTGTCTTTGTACACCTGGTAGAATTCAGCTGTGAATCTACTTGTTCTGGGGCATTTTTTTGTTGGTAGGATTTTATCATTGATTCAATTTTGAAACTTGTTAGTGATCTGTTCAGGGTCTCAATATTTTCGTAATTCAATTTTGAGAGGTTGTGTGTTTTCAGGAATTTATTCATTTTCTCTAGATTTTCTAGTTTATGTGCACACCAGTAGTCATAGTAGTCTCTGAGGATGTCACTTTTGTTATTTCTGATTGTGCTTATTTATATCTCCTCTTTTTTTCTTTGTTAATCTAGCCTGCAGTCTATCAATCATGTTTATACTTTCAAAAAACCAACTTTTTGTTTTGTTGATTCTTTGTATGGATTTTTGGGTCTCGATTTCATTCAGTTTTGTTCTGATTTTACTTATGATTTTTTCTTCTGGAAGCTTTAGGGTTAATTTGTTTTTCTTTCTATTCTCTAGTTTGTCTAGGTCTGATGTTTGATAATCAATATGAAATATTTCTAACTTTTTAAGGTAGGCATTTAGTGCTATAAACTTTCCACCTAACATTGCTTTTTGCTGCATCTTAGAGACTTCGGTATGTTATGTCTCTGTGTCTATTTCAAAGATGTTGATTTCTGCCATAATTTCATTGTTTACCAAAAAGTAATTCAGTAGCAAGTTGTTTAATTTCCAAGTAATTCTGTGGTTTTGAGAAATCTTCTTGGCATTGATTTCTATTTTTATTGCACTGTGGTCTGAGAGTATAGTTGGTATATTATTATTTTGAGGTATATTCCTTCAACACCTAGTTTGTTGAGGGTTTTTTATCATGAATGGATATTGGATTTTATGGAAAGCTTTCTCCACCTCTATTGAGATGATCAGATGTTTTTTGTTTTTAAGTGTGTGGTGAATCACATTTATTGACTTGTGTATGTTGAACCAATATAATACTCCAGGAACAAAGCCTACTTGATGGTGGTAAATTAACTTTTTGATGTGCTACTGGATTCAGTTTTTAAAACTTTGTTGAGACTTGCTTTATGGCTGAGCATGTGATCAATCCTGTAGTATATCCATATGCAGATGAGAAGAATGTATATTCTGTGGTTGATGGTGGGAGTATTTCGTAGATGTTTATTAATAAGTCCAGTTGCTCAAGTTTTTCTTTGTTAGTTTTCTGACTCAATGATCTGTCTAATGCTGTCAATGGGGTGTTAAAGTCCCCCACTATTATCGTGTGTCTATCTAAGTCTTTTTGTAGGTTGAAGAGTACTTGTCTTATGAATCTGGGAGCTCCAATGTTGGGTGCATATACATTTAGTAAAGTCTTCTTGTTGAATTGAACCCTTTGCCATTATATAATACCCTTCTTTGTCACTTTTTACTTTTGTTGGCTTAAAGCCTGTTGCATCTGATATAAGAATAGCACCCACTGCTCTATTTTGTTTTCAATTTGTGTGATAGCTCTTCCTCCAACCATTTACTTTGAGCCTATGGGTGTTATTACATGTGAGATGGGTCTCTTAAAGACAGCACATTAATGGGTCTTGTTTTATAACCCAATTTGACACTCTGTGTTTTTTACATAGGGTGTTTAGCCCATTTACATTCAAGGTTAATATTGATATGTGAGGTGTCAATCCTATTATGAAGTTATTAGCTGGTTGCTTTGTGGTTTCTATTGAGTGGTTGCTTTATAAAGTGTGTGCACTACGTACTTAAGTAACAGGTATCATTCTTTTGTTTCCATGTTTAAAACTTCCTTAAGGATTTCTTGTAAGGCTGGTCTAGCAGTAACAGATTCTCTTAGCACTTGGTTAAATCATTTAACCTATTTGAGAAATTATTTTGCCATGAAATCAAAATAGATGGGATTAACTACAGAAACCTAGTTTTAAAAGGCTTTTAAATTAAAATATTGTTGTATCGGTTGGGTATGGTATGTTGGCTTTGGTTTAGGGTGGACTCAGTAGCATAATATCTATGCAATATCCTCAGTTGTAATCATCATCAAAGATGTCTGCAGTTGCCTCAGTGGTCTAGGCTGTGGGTGTTTGTGATGGAGTGGAGGTGGCGCACATTTGCTGTGGATTGGGGCACCTGTCGTTTTCAGGCCAGGTACATGCAGGTGTGGTAGGCTGGCCAGCTGTTTGGTTGCTTCCATTAGAGATGACATTTAAATGCTGAGTATAATATCAAAAAAGATGAGGAAACCTGAGTACTCTTGTTCCAGAAGACCAGTTTCAGAGGGTCTCAAATGAGTGAGAATAAAGACAAACAGTCTTAACTTCTCAACTTCTCTACAAGCATTTTTCAATTAATTGTGCATGATTCCATGTTTACATAAATTAAAAATGGTAGTTACAGCCCAAACCATGAATATTGTAAATGAGTAATAAAAATTTATAAGCACCCATTTTGTGCAAAATCCTTAGCTAGGTGCTGTTAGGTGCATGAAGCAGCGTAAGAAGAATATATTGCTCTCAAGAATCTTATGCTGGAGTTGGAAAAAATAGAGACAAACACATGGAAACCAAACTAGTGGTGTGAAAAATGTCAAAAGAGTCACAAAAACTATGTTATGGGACTCAGCTTTTAACTGACCAGAATCCATTTATTCTCTAATGTACATTAACACTAAAATTTGAGACAATTCCCTTAAATTCTCTAAACTTAAGTGTTTTAATATATAAAATACTAGTATCAGACTAGAATTTTGCTAAAGTCTATTCAGCTCTTACGACTACATACATGGATATGTATGCAAATATGAATACATATTTTTTCAAAGGTGGAAAGAAATATTCATAAGCTGTCTAACTTTTGCTTTATTTTTCTTAGGTTTCCTCAATGGACACTCTAGCAACATCAATCAACCAGTTTGCCTTGGAGTTGAGCAAAAAGCTAGCTGAATCTGCTCAGGGTAAAAATATTTTCTTTTCTTCCTGGAGCATCTCAACTTCCTTGGCCATGGTATATTTGGGCACAAAAGGCACCACTGCAGCCCAAATGGCCCAGGTGAGTGGAAGAGGTCAACCATCTTCTGTTTCTTGTAAACTAAGTGCTTTCATTGCCTTTTAACTTCAGTTTTCTCTTGACAACTCAATAATTTAAATTTCAAAATAGCATTCTCTAAAACAAGACAGACATTTAAAAATTCTATACCATAAAACAAATCCTGGTAAAGGGAATCAGTTTTCAAACTGTTGCTGGGAAAACCATTTGAGAACCTGTGTCCTTTAGCAAAATAAAACGGAGAAAGGATGAGGTTATAATTTTTGTCGAACACCAAAACCAATTTTATTTTGATGATATTATTTCAAAAAGTAATCGGTCAAACTTTAAATAACAGAATTATTCAGCATCTTTATAATCACGTAAGGATTTTCTTGGAGACACAAAAAAGAAAAATAGAAGAATTCTGTTTCTCATGCTTTGTTTGATTCTCTCTTTGTTTAGTCCCTGGTTATCTGAATGGAGTCCTGGTTATCTGAAGGGAGCCCATTAAGATCATTAAAATAACAACATAATACTATTGTACACAGAACTATTTTTGCAATAAGCATCCTCAAAACACTGTGTGTATATAAACATATATATAGCCATAGATAGCAAAATAGCTATATGTGTAAAAATATATATGAATGCATATACATATATGCAACAATATGTATATAAAATGTGTTTTTAAATAAAAATAAAAACAGAAAGAGTAAACTTGGCCCTAAATCTTGCAAAACCAAAAGGCCAAGTGACAGAATTTTCACCCAAGAAGGTGACTTCCTTGCAAAGTATGGATATGAACACAGCTGGTAATTCTGAAGGATGTGGGCAGGACACATGCTCTATTAGTCTGGACTTGGGATATCATCCTTACTCTTGTGGTTCACAAGATATCAGGTAGTTTAAAAAGTACAACAGCAACAACAAAATCCTTGTTCACAACCTGTTAATGATTGGTTCATTAGCTCAAAAGTCTTAATAATTAATGTGATAGACAATCTTAAATGGATTCCAGTGTGAGTCTATTTTATGTAAATATATGGCTGGATGTTGATTGTCCTTGTTTCAGATGTTAACACTTCCAGTTGCAAATGAGCCTCATGAATTAGCTGTGCACCCCTTTTATGGCAGGTGGCCCTTGTTTTATTACCATAGATCAATGCAACCCTTGATGCAATATACTGTATTTTTTATTGTCAACTGGGTCCAGGGCATAGGAGATAAAAGTATTTCCTTCTGTTCTACTGTTGTACAGTTCCAAGGAAAGTAGGGTATCTACGTCTTTCCTGTTAACTTTCCAATGAAATGTTGGGGTGAACACAAACATTGTGCCTATATATGTCAAGTGGTAGTAGACATAGGAACTGAGCATTTAACTAGAAAAAAAAAAAAAAACTAAAATTCCTTAATTTTCCACATAATTATGGCTTTTACTGAAACTGTCTAAATGATTATCTCAGTTGGACACCTAGCATTCTTCTTAAAACAACGATGAGTAAAAAGGAAATATGGAAAATAAGAGAATTTTATGTCAAGGTTTTCCCAACATCATTCTAGTTATAAAACATAGGAAAATAAAGAGACTAGCAACTTAAATTGGACTTTAGAAAATGTGTTTAAAAGCAGTTCTTGACTTATTTATTAAACACATTTTTTAAGTTAAGTCAGAGCCCCTTTTTAAATTAATTATATGTTCTGCAATTATAGGAATGACTGACTTGTATTTACAGATGATGTGTAATTTATATGATTAATTCTCTGTAGTCTATTCATTTGTCTTTTTATTGAAATTACAGGTGCTTCAATTTAACAGAGACCAGGGAGTCAAATCCAGCCCTGAAAGTGAAAAAAAAAGGAAAATGGTATATCTTATTCTTTAATACACATTTGATAATTAAGGAAAAAGTACTTTTAGCACATGTATTTTAGTGATAATTTAAGCAACTTTTATCAGGTAACTTTTCTTGGAAACATATATTAAAGTTACAGAAACTTTTTTTCGGAATACAAAATGTCTACACTGTTTGAAAGATCTCTTGTCCCCACACCCTTTTAATCTCTTTAAAAATTTCTCTAGTTTCAAATTTTTTCTTGCTTGCTTTTGCAAACTAAATGTGAAGAAAATTATGGCCTCAATAACATTTCATTCTTTTGTACTAACACTAAAGAAAACATTTTTATCCACTTTATGATCATTTTCAACTTTTGTTTGCAATTTACCAAATAATTTTATTTAGCTTTAGTTTGCTAACATGTACGTAACTCTTGTTCAACATTTTTATTTGACGAATTCCTTCTATTTTAAAGGAATTCAACTTGAGCAACTCGGAAGAAATACACTCTGATTTCCATACGCTTATCTCAGAAATCCTCAAGCCCAACGATGACTACCTACTTAAAACAGCCAATGCGATATATGGTGAGAAAACGTATCCATTTCACAATGTAAGTGCAAATGTCTTATTTTAAGCTAATGGAAAAGAAAGCAATGTGAGACCTATCAGTAAACTCTGTATATTTCTTTCTATACAAATAAATGTACTCTGTACATTTATTTCTATTCATGTACATAATTTTTAGATTCACTGCTGAGTAATATGCCAAGTAATAAGTCTTATCTAAAACACATAGGTCAAGCCATCACTTTACCAAATAGATAAGAAAATTATCATCTCCCACTAATTTCAAAGAAGAGTCCAAGGGTAAAAAGCAGAAAAATGCAAAAAGGAAATTGAAAATATTGCTGCATGCATGGTTCTTAAGGAAAAATATCTACTAATAACAGAAATGTGGCATTAAATGTGCTATAGAATCTTAAATACTTTTGAAAATAAGTTCATGTTCAAGTATCAGGGACAATCTTAATGTGGTCAGTACTTCCCTGTAAACAATCAATTAGACCAACCAACCAGTGTCTAGTGGTAAAGGAACCCAATAACAGGTATCAAACCAGATCTAGCACTCAGATATTTCTGTCTAGAATAAAGAGGTAACCCCTGAGAATGGCCTACAAATACATATGGAGACTTGGCTGGAGACTGTCTACTTGGGAGCAAAACTGATCTTGGGATGAGAGAAGTAAGCAGTTTTCACATCAAGACTTTGCAGACTTTGGGAACATGAAACATGAAATAATACCAACTTCTCTTTGCTAATGGTTGAAATCCCACCAATGTAGACCATGATGACTCTGTCCTCAGTTAAGAGGGTCACACGACAACCAACGTCAATAATTTACTTCTTTGTCCATCATCTCCTTGGGCAGGATGACCCACGTGTCCAGTGGGCAAAGAGTAAGGAAATTAGATAGGGTAGAAGAATAGCAATAAGATAAAATAAAGCTACCTTGTGATTTCAAGCAATGCTATCCTTGTTCAAATCTAGTGAATTCTGGGGAGTTCAGGACTTGAGCTTTGTTACTACTAAGGATATAAAACCAGCCAAATGGAATCTTAAAGACAGTTTCCTTTCTCGTAGGCTCATGGACTCGGGTTTAATTCAGAAGTAGGAGAAATGATTGACTCAGTGGGCACTTGGAAACAAGAGGGACACAGAGATAGAGACAAACATATTTTTATATGTCCACAAGCCCTGAGTTAAGACAGGCAGTGGTCCCTCATAAATATTTAAGTTTTCTTTCCACTAGATTTTAAATTCCACAGAATTTAGACTTCATAATCTTCAAGCCACTTCCTGGCAACAGAATTAACTCACCACTTTTTACTCCCTATAAGCCCTCCATAAAGTAAGCAAATTGAAGGAATACTACATGGTCTTGAAGAATAAATTATGTTCCCAAGGCTGGTGCCCCCATAAGAGCAACCTCAGTCATAGCCTACATGTGATGACTGCCACTGCGTGAACACCAGAGGACCAGGAGGAGTTAGAGGCCTCATTTCTTTTTTTTCCCTCAGAATGCCTAATATAACATTCGACTCTGCTTACAAATCCATTTTCATGGCAGAATATCATTTTCTTCACGGGCCCTCCACAAAGTTCCTGATGTTTAGAATCCACAGAAGGAAGCTACTAGTATCACAAGCCTCACTTGGGTTGCATCCCTACCATAGAAAGTCAAGTACAATGCTCAATACCTCTTGGCCACTGGGGTCACTCTTTTTATTTGTAGTCCCTTTCCATTCTAGCCTCATTTCAAGGCATGGATAAAAATAGAAAGAAAGAGGATGTGGAAGCCCCCAAAATGTGGGCATCAGTACTTCCTTCCACAGCTGGAGCTTTGCATAGCTAGCCAGTGCCCTGCTAAGTTTGGAGAGGGAGGTATTTAGTTTTTGACCAAAACTGGGAGTCAGGAAAGAGGAAATGGAGTGATGATGTGGGAGTGTGCAATTGCCCGCCTACCTAGTTCTTTTGATAATCTAAATAGATTTGAGTTCTTAGTTTTGAACAAACTCTACAAAAGAGGATTTTATCTATGTCTTTCAGAAATATTTAGAAGACATGAAAACATATTTTGGTGCAGAGCCTCAGTCTGTTAACTTTGTGGAAGCTTCTGACCAAATCAGAAAGGAGATCAACTCTTGGGTTGAAAGACAGACCGAGGGTAAGCTTTCACCAAGGGGCTTGGCAGCGTGCTTTTCCCAAACATCCTTGTATTTATTTTAGTTTGTGTCATGTGTAAGTATGTATATTCCTTAAATAGAAGTGTGGGCACATTGTAAATATTCAGAACATTATTTCTATTCATGTACATAATTTTTAGATTCACTGCCTAGTAATAAGTCTTATTTAAAACACATAGGTCAAGTCATCACTTTACCAAATAGACAAGAAAATTATCATCTCCCACTAATTTCAAAGAAGAGTCCAAGGGTAACAAGCAGAAAAATGCAAAAAGGAAATTGAAAATACTGCTGCATGCATGGTTTTTAAGGAAAAATATCTACAGAAATGTGGCATTAAATGTGCTACAGAATCTTAAATACTTTTCAAAATAAGTTCATGTTCAAGTATCAGTTAGAGTATGGATTAAACTACTCTAAAGAAGAGACCCAAAATATAGTGGCTTAATAAGACACGAGTTTGTCTTTCTCTCAAATAATAGTTCAAAGGTAGTTAGGCATCCTAGGTTAGAGAGAGCATTCTGTCTCCCAAGGCCATCCAGAGATCCAGGCTGGTGTTCAGCGCTGCCATCCTCAATACATGGCTTCCATTTCTAGGTGCAAGATGGTTCTTACAATAGCCAGTTGTACTAGCAGCAGGAAGTGGGTGGACATAGTCTGAATCTTTCACTGAGCCTTGTTTGCCACATCCCATGATTTCATTCCTCCAGCTGACCCTCCTCATTCTATTCCTCAGAAATGGAATTGTCCAGAGAGGGAGAGAGCTGTAATCCTTCTGTATTTTCTATTTTGGACACAAATATCTGCTATTTGGAAGCATTCAACATCGAATAAAATAAGGAATTAATTAGCTATTCAGGAACTTAGACTTTGTCGAGGCAGAGTTCCATGTGTCCTTAAGGGAAAGTTGCTAGGGTGTTTGGCATGACCAGGTTCTACCTGAATCATCTCAAAGAAACTTCTTTCCTCGAGCTTTCAACAGGTCTTCTCCAAGGTCTTCATTTTTCCTTTAGACAGCAGCATCCAGTATTATTAATAAAAACAACACACCTGTACCCTGAACCTTCCCTAGAAGATTTTAGAATATTTTTCTTTCTTTTTGGTGTTCTGAGGTTTCAACATTATGTTCTAGGCAGGGTTCTTTTTATTTTTATTTATTTACTTTATAATTTTGCTGGCAATCATTTTAAATCTAAATATAAAGGTCTTCAGGTAAAGGAAATTGTGTATATTATTTATTTCATGATTTTCTTCTTTTCATTCTGTCCCTTCTTGCCTTCAGTACTTCCAATAAACAAATTTGAAATTTCCCAAGCTATCCTATCTGTTTTGATTTTCCATTTATATTTACTTTTCATCTCTTTGCCCTTCTGTTATCCTTTTCCAGCTCATGGTTTTGCTCCAGCTGTGTTCATTCAACTGTTCAGTCAATCTATTCAAGAGTTTTATTCCACAGTTATGTATGTTCAGCTTTGACAATTATTTCTTTTCCCTTCGAGACTTACGGTTATTGGTTATTCCTTTTTCATTAGTGAAATCAATCAGCTTTCTCTGAATATGTAAATTTTGCTTATTTTTAAGTCTTTTTGCTGTATTAATTCTGTTTCCTGTTAGTACGTGTTGAAGTTGGTGCTTCTCTCTCATAGGGTGGATTTTCTTAACTGTTTGGTTTTCTGTGTGTCTTTTTGAGTGAGGATCCCATTTTACCAGTCTTAGTTTATAATACAGATCACAATACCTTGTCTATGGTGACTGTTGGGCTGACATTGATGTGCTGTGTTTATAACTTGCCTTCTGGGCATGGGAAGCTTCCAGTTTTTCTTGGGAGTTCCTAGCACCTTGGGAACACTGTTCTAACTCCCCTGTGACATAGGGTGCCCTCACTCATTACTCTAGCCTGTAAGCTAATTTGCAGCCCATTGTTGGTACCCAGGGAGGTATAGAAAGTCAATACACACAATTGCTCTAAACCAGTGACTCTCAATCGTGGCAACGTATTAAATTGAATTTCCTGATTAGTAAACCTAACTCCAGGTGAACTAATTCAGATATCTGGGAGTGAGGTTCAAGCATCAGTATTTTTTTAATCATAGACACACACAATTTATACATTTTAAATTGGCAAATATAAATTATATATATTTATGGTGTACAAGGGGATGTTTTGATAAATAAGTACATTTTGGAATGACATATTAATCACTTCACATTCTTATCAGTTTTTGTGGTGAGAACATTTAAAAGCTCCCTTAACAGTTTCAAGTAAACGATATATTGTTACCAACTGCAGTTATGATTCTCTACTATAGTGCACATGTACCCTAGAATTTAAAGTACAATAATAAAAAAAAATTAAAAAATAAATACATAAAAATAATAATAAAATAAAAAAATAATAAACGTTGCCTTAGTGAAGTCAGAAAAAAATTGAAAATTGAACAGCCACATGATCCAGAAATTCTATTTCTGGGAATACATTTAAAGGAAATGAAATCAGTATTTCATAGATGTCTGTATTCTCATGTTAATTCAGCATTATTCACAATCACCAAGATATGTATTCAACCTAACTGCCCATCAATTGATGAACAAATAAAGAAAATGTGTTGTGTGTGTGTATATATATATATACAGTATATATATATATATACACACACACACACACACACACACACACAAAATAAAATACTACTCAGCTTTTAAAAACAAGGAGATTCTATCATTGGTGGCAACATAGAAGCATCAGTATTTTTAAGTCCTTAGAGATTCTAATTTGCAGTCAAAGTTAGGAACTACTGCAATAAATGGAATTGTTTCATTAATCTCACTGATGTTCCCTGCCCCCAACAAGTTCCATGAATGCATGGCTTTGAGTTTCTAACTCCCTGTGAGCAACACCCCAATCTCCCAAGAAGTCATCTGTGATGCCTTCTGTGTGTGTATGATGTGGTTTCCCTATCAGTCTAATCCATCTGTATTTTCTCTTTCGGGATTCTTCAAACTTTCCAGTCCTTTAATGGCATCTTGGCTTGTAGCACTATTCCAGATGCATTCTTTTTAACAAACGTATGTTCTAAAACATTAAATACCTTTGTAAAACAGCATTTTTGAGTATAAATCCAAAGGTTAAAACAATGTAAGCATACTTCGACTATGTATTTTAAGGTGGAAAAAAAGTATACAAATATTATGCCCTAGTTTTTACATTTGTTTTTAATAGAAGAATGGATTTACAATCCTGAAACTAATTTATGTTTATTCTAGGATTAAGCAAATAAAGAAATACATTGGAAATCATGAGAGCCAGAAAAAGAAATTATAAATAAGGCAGAGACAAAGGCTACAATGAACCCTGTGTTATTAGATTGGAATTGAAAGTATCAATATGACCCCCTACTCTTCAATATATATGCAGAAAGAAAATTCAATAGATAGATGTAAAAATAGACACAGATGTGTGTATAATACGTACATTTTCTAGCCCCATTTGCTGAGAGGATCTGGAAGCAATGACTGTTGCAGAGTGAAACTGGGTTGGCCACGAGGTTCTCAATCCAGTTCTATCTACCTCAGTTATCAAACATGTGCCTCTGGAGCAAACCTATAATACTTGATTCGAGAGATTTATATTCGACATATTTTTATAAATATTTCAAGGTGCTTTAGTAGAGAGTTTGGAGAGAATGTATTCGGGGTTGATAGTCAAATATCAGTTTAAGTTGTAACTACAACAATCTGATCGAAGCAATTGCACACAGCAGTATTTTGGGCAACAGGAAAACACTGGCACAACCTTTCAGATGTTAATCAGAACAGCTTAAAGAAGGAAGCATTTCAGTCCCCTCAAAATAGGGGTACAAATGAACTCATATTAGAGGGAACTTTTTATAATTAAACTGCAAATTTGTACTTTATGTGGAATAACGCTTACTGACCATTCAGCATATTATTTCTTCAGTGTTTCTCTCTTTATTCATAGCAGCTATTCTGGACAGGAATAGTACTTGTCCATTTCTGGAAAATCAAAAACCAGGACTTTTAAAGGAAACTTGTACAGTTCCAGAAAAAATAGAAGCCTGGTTGTCTTGAGTTAAAATAGAAGTCATTTGCAACCTGCCTTTTGTTCTTACAGGTAAAATCCAGAATCTCCTACCCGATGACTCTGTGGATTCCACAACCAGGATGATTCTGGTGAACGCCCTGTACTTTAAAGGAATCTGGGAACATCAATTCTTAGTGCAAAACACCACAGAAAAGCCTTTTAGAATAAACGAGGTAGGAACCTTATAAAGATCAGTTTGGATTTTCACATGGCATTGTAAAAGTGATTCTCTTATAAATTTACTCTTCTTTTAGATTATATGTTCTTGTGAACTATGGCTCTTACTAGGGAAGTGATGGCTGGGCTAAAAGCCTCCAGTTCCACGGAGAATTCAATGAAATTCCCCTGTCCTTGCTGAATATACAATCACTCAGTCCTTGCTACCCATGTGAGCTGGGTAGGGTAGTTTTCACATTTATTTCCTAGGTGAGAAAAATACAGTGTAGCCAAGTGATTGGAGGTAAGCGTGAGTTAGAAGCAGTCCAGAACAAGAACCTAAGAGTCCTCACTGTAAGTTCTGTACCTGCCCTGCTAAACCAGTACTAACTTCTACCAAATTCTTACCCTTACATAATAAAAGCAATAAAAAGGGAGACTAATGTAAGGTTATATATCTGACTCTCATGAATGGGCTGGAGTGCGGCTGGGCCTTGGGAACTGATTGGAAACAAGGACTCAAATGTTGTCAGGATTTTTTCCAACTCTGTTTCTACCATAATTCTTCTCTCAGGTTGAAGTCTAACTTTCTCTGCTTCCCCATTCACAATGACGGAACATAGCTACCCATAGGACCTTCTCCATTCTAGAGACCAGTTGGAAAATCCCATTCCAAATTCCTAGGAAAGGAACTAGTGGACCAAAGTTTGTTACAGTTGTTTAGTTTAGGGATAGGCCACAAACAGTGCTTCTGTGGAACTATGGCTGTAATGAATGTGTGCAATAGGCATTTCTCAATCAGTGGGGTGAGGATGGGGAAGGAACTGAACACATAATCCAGTAGGTTAACAAGAAGTGAGCTGGATAGTTACGTGGGTTTGTATATTCACTGGAAATTTTCAGTTGCAAGTGATAGAAAAGTATTCCAGACTAGCTCTGGCAAAGTGGGAATTGCATTGGAATTAGCTTAGGTAAGAAAAAAACTGGGAAGTCCAGGAGTGAGTGATTGGGGGTATTTAGAGTCTCAACACATAATCCCAGTTCATTCTCATGCTGTCTCTTTCTCTTTTTCTCTCTAGTTGCTACTCTCATTCTCTAATAATGATCAGGGAATATGGTTGCCTCATATTCAACCTTCAAGCTTCACAACTTTAGTAGACAGAGAAAGTGTTTGCCATTAGCTCTAAAACAGTGATCACAAGGAGGGCTCTGGTTGGGGCCATTCATGGGCTCTCTCTGGAAACAACCACAGTATGCTGGAGTACACCCAGTAAACAGCCCTGGTCATATGGCCACCACCTTAGCATATGGTGGGGCTTTGTGATTGACAGTTCCACATATAGAATGGAAAAGTAACATATGTCTACAACATCTAAGTTGCAGGGGTGTTTGTTTTGCTTTTATTTGGCAGTTGGTCTTATTTTTAAATTAGCTTACTTTTTAGATAATTTTTAGGTTTACAGAAAAAAACATGCAGAAAGTACAGGGCTCTCATATGTCCCCCCTTCAACACACACAGTTTCCCTTACTATTAATATCTTGCATTAGTGTGGCATATTTGTTTTAATTAATGATCTAATATTGATACATCATTATTAACTAAAATCTGTAGTTTACATGTGTGTCCACTCTTGATGTCGTACAGTTCTATGGGTTTTGAAAATGCCCAGTGTCATGTAGCCACCATTACAATAGCATTCCGAATAGTTTCACTGCCCTAAAAGTGCCCTGTGCTTCACCTGTTCATCCATTCCCCCTAAATCCCTGACAACAACTGATCTTTGATTGTACAGTTTTGGCTTTTCTGGAATGTCACATAGTTGGAATCATACAGCACGTAGCCTTTTCAGGATGGCTCCATTCACTATGAATTTAAGGTTCCTCCATGTCTTTCCAGGGCTTCGTAGATCTTTTTGTTTTATTGCTGAATAATATTTCATGGTACAATTGTACCACAGTTTGTCATCCATTCACCTATTGAAGCACATCTTAGTTCCTTCCAATTTTTTGGCAATAATAAATAAATCTGCTATAAACACTACACTGTGGGCAAGTTTTCCTGTGGACACTGTTTTTAACACATTTGAGTAAATACCTAGGAGCACAATTGCTGTATCGTATGGTAAGACTAGGTTAACTTAGTAAGAAACTGCCCAACTAACTGTTTTCCAAAGTGACTGTGCCACTGTGCATTCCCACTATCAGTAAATGACAGTTCCTGTTGCTCCATATCTTTATCAGCATTTGGTGTTGTCAGTGTTTCATATTTTAGCCGTTCTAATAGCCTTGTGCAATTTGCAATCTCCTAATGACATATGACTGAGCATTTTTCATGTGTTGTATCTCTTCCTGGTGAGGTGTTTCTTAGATCTTTGGCCCATTTAAAAAAAACTGACTTGTTTGTTTTATTATTGTTGAGTTTTGTACTATTTGTTGAGTTTTTATTATCGTCTCTTACATGTTTTCAAATATTTTCTGCTCATCTATTGCTAGTATTTGCATTCTCTTAGTGAATGTCAGTTTTTATAATACTAAAATACTTTCTCAAATATTTTCATGTAAAATATGTCTTACTCAGTTTCTGAATTATTGGCATTTCCATAATTTACACAAGAGCATATATTAAAAGTTTGATTTAACACATGTTGCTGTGATTTATAGGGGATACCACAGTCGTGTTAGAAACTCACATATCTGCTATTGGCGATACTTTTCAGTGGGATAGATATTTCCATAAAGGAAGGTCTGGATAACTTTATAAAGCATTTAGCAGAGGATCACTAATTTCACCAACTGGGAGCCAATGATGGTAGAGAATTAAGGAGTTAGTGGAATACTTCTTCGACGACCTTGTTACCTTTTTTTTTTTTAGACTACAAGCAAACCAGTGCAAATGATGTTTATGAAAAAAAAGCTTCAAATTTTTCACATAGAAAAGCCACAAGCAGTGGGCCTTCAACTCTACTACAAAAGCCGTGACCTCAGCCTGCTTATCCTACTGCCAGAAGACGTTAATGGGCTGGTACAGGTAAATCACATTAGTGTGTCCGATGTGAGAGTGTTTCCAGTGTTTACTAAAAGAACTGGTTGGCCAAGGTTTCTCCCAATTGTCCTCAGGAAGAATGGTCTCCCTATTATTTAATTCCTATAAAGAGAAAAGTCACCAGTGTATCTTGAGTCCTAGGCACTTCACCTTCACAATATTATTAAACTTTACAACACTATATAAAGTTAATATTACTGTTCCTCAGAAAGGCTAAGCAATGTATAGACAGCTCCAGCCTGGGGTCATCACACACATAGCTGCATGTACAGCAGGTACAAATATACCTTGTCAGTCACAGAACTGTGTGGATTGATCATAACCATCTTTCAATCAGTCTAGGTTTCCCTCTGGTAGGACCTATGTAATTCGAGATTAATATTTTAATCATTTGCATTAGTATACACACACATCAAGCTGTCTTCCAAAACTTATTTTTTGAACATTTTTATCAAGTAAACAACCTTCAGGAGAAAAAGTCTGTATCAATACTGTCTTCAAGAATTATTTAAGTTGTTTACCAGCCAAATTTCTATTAATCTGGACACAACTTTGGTCAGACCATGCTTCTGAGCAATTTGCATGCCTAAACAGAACGTGAGTCTCATGCAACAGATGGCCTGTCTTTCTTTGCACCGTGTCTAATTTTTCACATGTATCAAACTCTTAATACTTATAAGTTTCCATGATCCTACCAGTATGTAGAAAATATTTCCAAATTATGTCATACAATTTGTGAAACTGGAGAGAATAGTAAAAGTAAAACCAGTGTGGACAAATAACCATTAGAGTCAAGCCCTTTTAAGATAAAAACCTAGAAGTGCAATTTCCTGAGCTGAAGGTATTGTCATGTTATTAATGTAAATGGTTTACAGGTATGTCATTGACAGCCAAAACTTCAGTTTAGAAAATGCATGTGCATTAAAACAAACATGTCATTTAAAAAATCAAATATATACATATATACATATGTAGTATATACAAACATATATTTATTATTTAAAAAATTTAAAACATAAAGAAGAGGGAAAGCATCCTTAAACTCAATATAAAATAATTACTTTTGAGATTTGGGGGATTTTCTTATCTTTTCTTTCTTTTTTGACTTAGTTGATAATTGTTAATCTCATGTTGTTTTGATTAGAGTATAGACATGTTATTTTATTCCAAATTTTGTTTTCAAAGAGCTGTCTCCCATGTTGACAAACAGGTTTTCTTGTGCCTTGGCTTACAACTTGAACTAGAGTATAGCTTTTGTATAGATAACATCTAAATGTATATTTATATTGATGTATTTGAGTGTATAGTTGATGTCTTGTATACTATAGCAGAAGTACTTTCATTTTGAATTAAACTCTAATTCTCCCATATCTGGATAGCAATTAATCTGCAGAACGAAGATTTTGAAGGTCAACATTATACAACCAAAGGATATCCAGATGTGTGTGTGTTGTCACCCTGAGTAATGGGAGTGATCATAATTCATCTGTGTAATTCTTAGGGAGCTCTCTCAACTACTGTTTTTCATTCCAGTTTAGAATTACTAATTTTTCTTTCTTGGTTCCAAATGGGCAGCTGGAAAAGGACATCACCTATGAGAAGCTGAATGAGTGGACCAGTGCAGACATGATGGAGTTGTATGAAGTGCAGCTACACCTTCCCAAGTTCAAGCTGGAAGACAGTTATGATCTCAAGTCAACCCTGAGCAGTATGGGGATGAGTGACGCTTTCAGCCAGAGCAAAGCTGATTTCTCAGGAATGTCTTCAGCGAGAAACCTATTTTTATCCAATGTTTTCCACAAGGCTTTTGTGGAAATAAATGAGCAAGGTACTGAAGCCGCAGCTGGCACTGGGAGTGAGATAGATTCACGAATTAGAGTCCCATCCATCGAATTCAATGCAAATCACCCATTCCTCTTCTTCATCAGGCACAATAAAACCAACAACATTCTTTTTTATGGAAGATTATGCTCCCCCTAAATCCCGCATATCTCTCAACAAACAAGGCCATCTTACAGTGTGAAAAATGTACCATGAGATGGAAGAGCACAATTTTCACAAAAATGAGTTTGTAGTCTAAACCTTTTTCATATTTGAATATAAGTAAATAGATCTTGAAATAATGCATTCTAATGATCCTGTCATATCTGTACAGCTGGAGAGAATAACAAGTTTTATTTTTACCACGTTAACATTTTGTCTCATGTGACTTTCATTTACATTTCAGAAGAGTTATGCTATTCAACTGAATGCCTTACAATTCTTGATCACTTGCAATATCCATGATACTTGTTATCATTATATATTTCGTATACATCATTAAATGAAAAAAATCTTTATAAAGGTGATATGATATTGATAAATAAGAAGTTTCTCAAGAACATCATTTTGATCAAAATTTTAGCCGGGCATGGTGGTGCACACCTATGGTCCCAGCTACTCAGGAGGCCAAGGTAGGAGGATTGCTTGAGCCCAGGAGCTTGAGACTGCAGTGAGCCAAGATCACACCACTGCACTCCAACCTGGGCAACAGAGCAAGACCCTGTCTCAAAAAAATCATTTTGATGGTTCATAAATTACCATTGTAAAACTAAATCCTCTTTTTCTGCCATTTAAAAAATACTTATTTTTTAACTTTAACATTAACTTAAAAAACTAGTGAAATCCAAATGAAATTTGTAGTTCAGCTAGTAGCAATCTCTCAATGTTGGTGCCCTAGTTTTGACAAATGTACCCTGCTGATGTTAGGATGTTAGCGCTTGGGGAAACTGTACTGGAGTATATGAGAATTCCCTGTATTATCTCTGCACCTCTTCTGTGAATCTAAAATTATTCCAAAATAAAAATTTTATTAAAAATAATCATTGGGCCGGGCGCGGTGGCTCAAGCCTGTAATCCCAGCACTTTGGGAGGCCGAGACGGGCGGATCACGAGGTCAGGTGATCAAGACCATCCTGGCTAACACGGTGAAACCCCGTCTCTACTAAAAATACAAAAAAAACTAGCCGGGCGAGGTGGCGGGCGCCTGTAGTCCTAGCTACTCGGGAGGCTGAGGCAGGAGAATGGCGTAAACCCAGGAGGCGGAGCTTGCAGTGAGCTGAGATCTGGCCACTGCACTCCAGCCTGGGCGACAGAGCGAGACTCCGCCTCAAAAAAAAAAAAAAAATCATTATGGATGGCTGAAATACTCAAAACCAACATCTCCCGGTAATCTTAGCCCCGGCGAGCGCAATGCAGCGCGCGATCCTCATCCTGGGCGCCCATCCTCGGCTGCTGCTTCTTCCTTTCGGGCCCCTGGGCCTGACCTTCCTTCCGGGTCCGCACAGAAGGCCTGAGCGCGTCGCCTCTAACACTGGTCCAGCGCGCGGAACGCGGTGTGCCTCGGCTGCCATCTCCTGGAGACTAATTCTAGCGGACGTCGAGAGTGAACCACAGCCTCAACAACATCTAATTCTAATTACAGCTCGTGATCGGTGAGGTGACAGAAATAAACAGGGCGCTGTGGCGGGAACTAATAGATGGTCTCTTTAGGGTGTATGAGGTGTCCCTTGACCCTTCTCTCCCCGAAGTGGACATCAAGGTGACTCCTCCCCCCAGGACCTCCTACCCGTGGCGTCCTGCGACCCCCACCCCCGCTGCCAGCCCTCCCGGGAGCCCTCGGGTGGAGCACGGGGTTGGCTGAGGGGTTGGGGAGCCTCTACGGACACAGTCAGCCCCGCAGGATGTAAGTGGCGCAGAATCCTTGAAAGAGCTTCCGAGTGAAACCCACGCCCGCCAGTGGGGCGGAGCCCTAGCGGGGAAGGGCGAGTTCTCGCAAGGCCAGCGTGGAAGGGAAGAACGCGCTGTGGGGAGGCAGGGGCGCAGGAGGGGCCCCGCAGCTGGTGCTCAGAGCCGGGAGGAAGGAACTCCCCCGGGAGTGGAGGGGTGGCCCTCGAGACGCCTCACGGGCCCCATCTCTCCGCGGAGCTCCAGGCAGCCTCGCCCATCACTCCTGCACCCCACGCGCCCTGGCCGAGAAATGGCGCTGGGCTCGGGCGGGGATCACCTCGAGGCCGGGGCTACCCTAATTTTAGGGCCTGGAGATACCTGTTGCTTTCAGGGACTCCAAGCCCTGTATTTCTCCGTCTGACTCAGCTCCTAGTCCGCACGGGAGCCTTTGCTCTTTTCCCGACATCTCCGGATTTCAGCATCTGGCTCACTTCCTCGTCATCCGCACCTGCACCATCATCTGTCCACACTTATGCAGCTTTCGGTTCCTCCTAGATGCCCGGCTAACCCCCAACCCATAAGATTCTACACCCGCTGGATTCTAGGCACTTTTACTGCCACTTAACTATGGTCACGTACTCCATGACCCCATATGAGCCTTGTCATCTTTCCCAACTGCTCAACTTCCTCAATAGTTGTTTTCAATAACTCTCTTATCTGGTTCTTTCTGTGCCTCTCTTGCCTCTCTAAGTGTCTTTCTCTGGCTCTTTTCTCCCTCTATTGACCGCTTATATTTTGGCGTTCTTAGGGCTCGGGTGCTCTTTACACTGTCTCTGGAAAATCTCTCCATTCCCGTGACTTCAGCTATACCGATCTGCTGAGGACCCCTAAGTTTTTCTTTTTTGTAGAGACAGGGTCTCACTATGTTGCCCAGGCTGGTCTCGAACTTCTGAGCTCAAGTGACCCTTCCACCTTTGCCTCCCAAACTTCTCCTGAACTTTCCATATAACCTTAGCATGTCAAAAATGAAATTCATTTTCTCCTCCAAATTCATTCAGTTTCCTATTTCCCCAATCTTGCTTATGTCACTGCCATTCACCGGCTTGTCCAAGTTAGTAAGTCTGGAAATCATGCCAGCTTTCTCCTTCCTCACTCTCCCACCCAACAATCCCCAGGTCCTGTCTATCCTCCTTCGTAAACAGCTCTTTCATTCATTTTTTAGTTTTATGTTTTTCATTAAATGAAAGACATTTCCCTAATTTCCTAGTATTTTACCTGCTGTTTCTGATTGTCACTATTCAGAAGGCAAATGACATGGTAAATGCCATCTGTCCTTACAACACCATTCTTGTTCCAGCTTCCCTCTATCTCTAGACAGCATGCTCTCTCTTGTTTCTCACAGCTAGGTTTCTTGAAAGAGGGCTGTCTCCACATTTCCCTTTTATATCTCAATCCAAATCAATTTGATTTTTATCCCAACCACTCTCACTAAGGTAAGTAATGACTAGAATACTGAGAATTGTCCTCTCTTCAATCTTAACGCTCCTTTTCTCTAGTATCAGCTGCTGATACTATTCACCTCCTTCCTTTCCTTTGTCTAGCTTTTTGTGTATCTTCTCCTTTTTCACGTCCTCTTTGCTATGTCCTCTTTCTGAAGCCATATCTTAAATGTTGGCATTGCTGGGCATGGTGGCTCATGTCTGTAATCCCAGCACTTTGGGAGGCAAAGGTGGGAGGGTCACTTGAGCTCAGGAGTTCAAGACCAGCCTGGGCAACATAGTGAGACCCTGTCTCTACAAAAAAAGAAAAAAAAAATTAGCTGGGCATGGTGATGCATGTCTGTGGTCCCAGCTACTTGGGAGGCTGAGGGAGGATCACTTAGGCCTAGGAGTTCAAAGCTGCAGTGAGCCGTGATAGTGCCACTGCACTCCAACCTGGGAGACAGAGTAGAGACCTTGTCTCAAAATAAATAAATAAATAAAAAATACATAAATAAATAAATATTGACATCATCTAGGCTTCTTTCATCAGAGCAATGCCTTCTTGATATGCAAGCTTGCTGGGCCTATTTGTGTCTCCCAAAAGTTCACTTGGCACCTATACAGCATACTTCAGTCTTTACTTCTGTCTCCAGACATTTCTACCTGCTACTCCTTCCCCTCATGTTCTCTCTCTCTCTGTTAATAATGTCATCATGTATCTAACTATGTGTGTTAAAAAACTAAGACATACGGTACTCTGCTCTTTTCCTTGCCCTCTCCCCCAAAATCAACTTGGTCATTAGCTCCTATGATTTCTGCCTTCTAATGAGTTCTTGGCATCACCATTGCTATTGTCTGGGCTTAGGCCCAAATTACTTGTGTTCTGGTCTCCTCCTGCATCCTAAGTATTGACATTACAGTAAATCAGACACAGAGAGAGAGAGCGATCAACAAATCATGCTATCATGCCACTTCTCTGGTTTTAATTCTATAATGATATTCCATTGCTCAAAGAATAAGCCCCAAATTTCTTAGAATTGCATGAAGAATCTTTTCCAGTTTAGCCTTGACCTACTGATTGGGTTTAACCTCATTCAGTGTCATCATGGGCCACTCCCCAGTACACACCTTCTATTCTACCCACAAAATATACCCATTCTTCACCTGCTACGAACTTTTTCACAACCATGTTTTTAGAAACATATCATCTCTGCCTAATATATTCTTTCTCCACTCGCCATCTGTAAAATCACTCATCCTACAAGACTCATCTCAACTGATGTTACTATGGATTCATCCTGAGTCACTGGAGCTACTGTTTCCATCATTCTGTTCTCATCCTGCTGTGTACCTGCTCCATTAGAGATGCTGTCCACTCTGTTGTAAATACAACCTGTCTTTCCCATTCATCTGAGATACAGAGAAAAAGAAGGCACATATTTTACTTAGTTTTGTTTCTCAACTTCCTTATAGCCTGTTACAGTGCTCAGTACATTAAAAGTCTAATAAATGAAGTTATGGGCAAGTAGTAAATGGTTTGTTTTATATCATTTCCCAAATCCGTTATTTAGTGAAGAAGGGATTTCAAGGGATGAACAAATTTGATGTGGGAAGGGTTTAGAAAATATCTAAGCATCTAAATGTAAAAAATGTTCTGTGGTTCAAAAACTACAATCACTTTTTCTCTTTTTAAAAAATAGTACAATAGAAATCTAGAGTGGAGCAGGAGAGCATGGCCTTATTGCATCACTGAGTCCTTTTCCCTCAAAAATGAATTATTTTGATTTTTAACTGTGGGAACAAGAGAAGTAAATTTATACTGAATTTTTCCATGAATCCCAGTAAGGGGGAGAAAAAAGCAATGTTGCATCTATATTGAAGGACTGTGAATTTACTTCAATTCCAGACCTATTATTTCAGTTTAGGGAATGGATGCCACTAGAGATAAGGAATCTTCTTCAGCACTTGGTCATTACCAGTCTGTGAGCAGAGATGCAGTTTGTTGAGTGCCAGAAAAATATGTTCCAGCCTCAGTGCTTGACCCTCCACTAAGATATTTGAAGATATGGCCGGGTACGGTGGCTCACGCCTGTAATCCTAGCGCTTTGGGAGCCTGAAGCAGGTGGATCATGAGGTCAAGAGACTGAGACTATCCTGGTCAACATGGCGAAACCTGTCTCTACTAAAAATACAAAAATTAGCTGGGCGTGGTGGTGTTCGCCTGTAATCCCAGCTACTTGGGAGGCTGAGGCAGGAGAATTGCTTGAACTCGGGAGGCAGAGGTTGCAGTGAGCCAAGATCGTGCCACTGCACCCCAGTCTGGTGACAGAGTGAGACTCCATCTCAAAAAAAAAAAAAGAAGAAGAAGAAGATATTTGAGGATATTAAGCAGGTTCTTTGCCCCAATCCCAGAATACATCCGACATAAGCCAGCCCTTGGCAATAAGTTCAGGATTCCAGTGGAAGAGCCAGCAGGACTGTTCTCACAAGTATAGAATAGCAGCTGGAGTTCAGAGATTAGAGTTTCAGCCAAATAGTCCTTAGAAGGGAAGCCTAGAGAAATCTGAGGTCCACCTTCTAGCTATGCTCACATGCCCAGTGAGAGGCAAAGAACAGCCTATCAGCTACCTTTTAAGTATCTTTTTAGAGGAAGGTTTTCTGGGATAGAAAAATTAATGACCTCAATCTTCTAGATGCTTTTCTTCCAGGAAAGAGGGTTGCCAATTCCCTGAGGAAATGAGTGTTCATCCTTTATTTGCTCACTGCTTGCAATCTCGCTAGATCTCTGCTTCTTATGTCTCCATCACTTTTGACTATCTCATTCTAAATTGTCCTCTTGGACTCAAACAGCTTTCTTAGGTGAGTCACTGGGAGTGTCTACTTGATTTCTTTGGGGCAAGTGTTGAGACATTAAATGTGAAAATCTAAAAGTATTATAACATTACTGATTGGATATTGGTATATGTCACTGAATCATGTTTCTATTGTTCATTGAAAACGTTGCAATGTTAACTAATCTAACAGGAAAACCAAATATATAGGTGTAGATAGTTACCTGGGAACTTGTTTTATGTTTTCTCTTGGAGGGCAGATATTCCAGCTCCAGATCAATCCCAATGTTTTGCACTGTATGTGTGTGGTAAATATTTGCTTAACTAAGGTAGTTGGGTTAATTAAGCAATTGATCTAACCATGATGATTTAATCCACTAGGGTCAATTTTTTACTCATTTAAGGTTATAGTTTACAATTTAGACACTTAGCCTTACTTGGATAATTTGAAAT